CAACAGTCACCTTCTGCCCGGGGTGGGAGTGCCACCTGTGCCGGCTACAGCTGCACAGGGAACATCTGTCCACGCTCTGGTGACACCCGGCCACCGCTGATGGATGTCTCCTCTCCATTCCAGTCACACGCACGTCCTGAACCAGTGTCACGTTTCTGTCCCTGCACTCTGCTTGCTGGGTGTGCTGTTCTGTGACAAGGTCTGTCCGCCAGCAGCAGCTCGGCCTTCACTGCTGTCCAGGTTTGGTTCCCTGATGGCACCCCTCGGTAGGTGCCCCACGGTCTCCCCAGTTCTGGGAGGTTTTCCTACTTCTGATGTGGGCCCCCCTGCCCTCCTCTGCTTCTGAAACAATACTATCACTGAACTGGTAAGGCCAGATCCCTGTAGGCTTAATGGTGGTTAACCACCACGTCCGCTGTGACTGGTCAGGTCAAGCCTACAGCTTATCTTCACACAGACGGTTTCATTAAGCCCTTACAAGCGTCCTGGGCAGGTGCTTTCATTACTCCTTTACCGTAATTACAGAACACATGTGAGGGGCCGGTGCCGTGGCTCACTTGGTGCCTGCAGCACCAGCATCCCATGTGGGCACTGGGTTCTGGTCCTGGTTGCCCCTCTTCCAGTCCAGCTCTCTGCTGTGGCCCAGGAGGGCAGTGGAGGATGGCCCAAGTGCTTGGGCCCGCACCCATGTGAGAGACCAGGAAAAGCACCTGGCTCCTGGCTTCAGATCAGCATGGTGCCAGCCGTGGCAGCCATTTCAGGGGTGAACTAACAGAGGGAAGACCTTTCTATCTCTGTCAAATTAAAAAAAATAATAAAATAAAAACCGCATCTGAGTGGGACCACTGGGCCTGCAACTTGGGCCTGTCGGGCCCTGAGCCAGTTCTGACTACCGCCCTGGTTCCCTCAGCACCCTGGACTGCAGCGGCCAGACTGGCCTCTTCCCAGCTCCCGTGATGCGGGACACTCCCAATTTGGAAGCCTGGCTGTAACCATAGCTCTTGGGAACCAGACGGTTTGCCCGTGCCAGGAGCCAAGGCAGCCAACTGTGCTACGGGGCTGCCAAGGCCATCTGGTTTGGTCAGCGAACGTGCCTGGAGCCCTTGTGGGGAGCCCAGCTGGACTCCAGGGGCAGACAAGACTTGGTCCCTTCCTAGTGCCTCTGTTCAGACTTCCTAGTGCCCAGCTGCAGACTCTTTACTGGGTGCCCTCTGTCCCTGGAGTCCCTGTCCTCTACGCGGATGGCCACCTTGCTGATAGCCAGACTTTCAAGACGAGGGTGACTGCTCAGGGCTGCAGCTGTCTGTTCTAGAACTCACTGTCCAAGGAGCTGCTGGCTGGTGCTGTGGCTGCCCAGGCCGTACGCCACTGCAGGCACACACAGCTGGGGCTACCTGCAAGCAGGAGTTGGAACCACTGTGGACTACAGTAGGACCCTGGACGCTCCACGCTTTGGCTCCCAAGCCCATCCTGCCCCTCTGACCCTTCTCATTCCACCACTCTGGCGCAGGGCTAAGCCGTAAGGAGCTCACGGGTTCAACCCCAGGTGCAGCATGCATCGCTCCGAGGCTGCAGGAAGAGAATACGAACCCATGAAGCGCACAACGGGGATGTGTAATCCCCCACACTGGCCTCGACCAAAGGCCACCTGACTTAAGCCTGCTGCCCACTTGCCTCCCCATTCAGTGCCTTGTCACCCGCATTGCTGGAGGTGTCGGACCTCTCCCTCTCCGTCCACTCTGGGCGTTTGCGGCACAGCTTCCTGGATGAGCACTAGCAGACGCTGGCAGACCTTGGCTGCCTGATACACATCAGCTAAGAGTAGGGATCTGCCACACTGGGGCTAGCCGGTCAGGCCGTCGTCTGCAGCGCTGGCACCCACCCAGAAGGAGCTCGTCCATTTGGCCTGGTCCTTACGGCCTCTCAGGGAGTTCATCAGCAGATGGAAACCCTCTCCCCCTAATTCAAATAAAATCTCAAAAACAGGAATTTTTTTGCCTCACAACTAATATGCAAGGACTTTCAAATGGAAGCCACTAAAGTGAGAAAACCTAGCTTGGGTCTTGTCCATCAGGGGCCAAGGCGAGGAAACCTTGGTCTTGCCCACCAAGGGCACGGGGCACCTCCATCCGCTTTCCTCCTCTCAAATGGTGCTCCTGCCCTCACCAGGCACCTCCCTGCCCTCCAGGGGAAGCCCAGGGCTGCACTAGCTTGGTAGTGGCTTCCAGGTCACCTGAGCTGTAGGACTGCAGACCTGGGGTTTAAGGTTCCACAGCTTCAGCCACAAGCAGCCACGCGAATGACCACAGCTGTTCCTCAACGTGTCACTGGAGCCTTATGGCTTCCAGGATCTGTCCCCTTAGCCCTTCTCACACCTTGACACTTCGGGCAGGAAGTGGAGCACACGTCATCCCATCTACACTGCAGAGGGCGGATTACAAGTGCTCTGTGAATGAAGACTTTTGTCCACCAAGCAACAGCGTCAGTAAACTAAGCTAAACATTACGACCTGCAGAACCCAGACAATGGGTGTATTAGAAAGGTTTGTACAGTCAACTTAGGTTTTTGACACTTCGTTGGATAAACAAGTTTATTTGTAAATTTAGTCAACATACATAATTGACCTAAAAACTTCAATAGATTTAAAAACCACTTGGAAGGCCATCTCTAGAAAAGTGATTTTCCCAGGACAGGACAGTCACCAGATGTATCCTGACCAGCCACCATTCTGGCTGGCAGAAGCCCAGGAAGCGGGAGCTGCGCGCCTCCACAGCAGGTCCACACTAAGGGTCAGAACAGAAACTCCACAAGGAAAAACGTCCGCTCGCTTCCTCTTGGCAGAGGGGAAGAAAACCTAGTTAGGAGACCAACCACGACACAATGGAAAGCTGCTCTACCTAGCGACAGGTGATGCTGGTGAGTAACCTGGACTGCAGTCTGGAGCCCTTGTCAATGAACCCCCGTTAGGGTCTGCGTCCGGCCGGAGGGGGAGCCAGCCCGTGGCAGAATGAGGACTTATGCAAGGTGTATGCACGAAGCATCTACTGCGGAAACAGTGCAGCCTCGTCAGCAGAAAGCCAGCTGGACTAATTACACACGCCTCAATGACCAGACTCCCCGCCGCTTGTGAATGTAAAACATTTAATTTAAAAATGTTGACACTACAATATATAAAATAGCTATTATAAATGCACATAGTGTATCTATAGCTGCCAGGTTTACTTTTCTCTTTAAGGAAACTGTAAGTTACACTGTGGTTAAGACTTGGATCTTCACCCTTGAAAAGCCCGCATTCTATCACAGTGATGTATGGTCAGACTTAACAGCCCCAATTGTTGAACACTTGGATCAAGTCATAACCAGTTTTATTGCAAAAGGACCCTGTACACATTTATTTATCAATTCTAGTACCTTAATAGCTACCCAACAAGTCTGTAACACGGAACATGCATGAGAAGCGAGATCACCCATCCCTTCTGCAGATTCGCGACTTGTCACTCCTGAGCGACAGTGCGCGCACTGAGGGCTGACAACAGTCACTTTCCGCATTCATCCTGAGTGAAAGATGGAATGACTTAAGTACAAATGCAACATATTATAAACAATTTCTTACAAAAAAAGTCACAAGTTTAACCAAAGTATTTTACAGAATTTACTACAAAACGCCGTAAAAACCGCCTCCTCTTAAGCTCGCTCTCCCCGTATCCGGCGGGCCAACTGGATGTCTTTGGGCATGATGGTCACTCTCTTGGCGTGGATGGCACACAGGTTAGTGTCTTCGAACAACCCCACCAGGTACGCCTCGCTCGCCTCCTGCCGGGACAAGGGCCGTGCCGTTAGGCGCCGGGAGGGCGGCCAGGCCCGCACCCTCCCCGCCGCGGGCGCGGGGCCTCACCTGCAGCGCGCCGATGGCCGCACTCTGGAACCGCAGGTCGGTTTTGAAATCCTGGGCGATCTCCCGCACCAACCGCTGGAACGGCAGCTTCCGGATAAGCAGCTCCGTCGACTTCTGGTAACGACGGATCTCCCGGAGCGCCACGGTGCCGGGCCTGAAAGGCGCAGGGCGGGACATGGCAGGAACCCCGGGAGCGGGTGCACGACCCCGGGAGGCGGTGGGGGAGGGGCGGCAGGACCCCCAGGAGCGGCGGGAGGGAGTGGGGGTGGCAGGACCCCCGGGAGGGGCGGGACGACCCCGGGCCGGCGCCGCCGCGTCATCGCCCCCTCCCGCCTCCCTACCTGTAGCGATGCGGCTTCTTCACCCCGCCGGTAGAGGGCGCGCTCTTCCGGGCGGCTTTCGTAGCCAGCTGCTTGCGGGGGGCCTTCTCGTCAGTGGACTTCCGCGCCGTTTGCTTGGTTCGAGCCATCTCTTTTCACCTGAGACACACGAGCCCCGCTCGCTGCAGCAGCAGACGCGAGCAGATGGCCGGCGGCCGCCTCCCCCTCCCCGGTGACTCAGGCGGCGCCGAGCGGCGGCCTCCCCCGGGAGAGAGCGCGGGGAGGAGCCACCTCCCTCCCGCGGCGGGCGGAGGCCCGGCCGCCCGGAACCCGGCGCCGGGGCCTCTGAGTCACCGGCGGCGGCGAGGCGGAAGCGCGGTTCCGGAACGAACCCCCGAGGGGAGACCCGCCGCCCCGAGGCCGGCTCCCAACGGCCGCGCCCGCCGCCCCGGGGCCCCAGGCCGCCGCCAGCGCTGCCGGCGCTCACCTCGCTCCGAAGCCTCAGGCCGCTCCGCGCCGCTTCCGCCGCCCCGACTCAGCCGCAGCAGCCAGGGGAGACTCGACGCTCTCCCGACCAACGACCAAACCGCTCTGCGCTCCGGGCCCCCCCGACGCCCGCGCTTTTATACCGACGCTTCACGCTGCGGCGCTACGTCACAGGGCCCTTATTTGCATACACCAACGACTTTTTCTATTGGCGGGCGCTTTCGCCGACGCGCTGACATCCCCCGACACAAAGGCCGTGCTTCGGCCCCGTTCCCTGATTGGCGGGCGCCTAGGCCGCTGATTGGCTGTTAAAGTGGCCTAAGGATTGGCTGGATGCAAAGTGGAATGGACGAATCAGAGTTTAGCACCAAGCGGCTCTTCTGATTGGACAAAATGGAGCTATGTTTGGATCCTTCCCTTGGTTCCAAAGCTCCACAATAGAAAGTCAATGCAAATGAATTGCGTTGGTCCCTCTCAGGATCTTAGAAAGTCGGACCAGAGAGCAGGAGCCTAAGTTTATTAGCATCAAGGGAACGCAGTGCAGGAGAGGCTGCTTGAACGAAGTTTTTGTAAATATTTTCCAGTGTAAAACAAAATGCGTTCCCTGCGTGACTCCCTTCTCCTAACGTTTTTGCTTAAGCTTGGAAGGAAAGGGAGAATTGGAATTCAGCAAATCAGACTATTTTTCTAAGTACAATATTTCGTATATCACACACATACATTTTTAACCAAAAAGCGATTATTTTGCCCGATGGAGTGGGAGAGAAGTAAGTAGATACAAAGAGAAACTGGTCAAGTGACTGTTGGAAGTCCTGTTTTGCATGTTTTTAGGCGACTTTCATCAAACAAGAAGTTATCTACTGGGCGATGCAGTTCTTGGAATTACGTGATTCAGCTGAAGGAAACACCACAGCTGGGAAGGCGAGAGGTTTACTCCAATATTTGCATGTCCGCAAAACATAAACGAAAGATAACTAAACCAAACACGTGCCCCCCCCCCTTTTTTTTTACAATATTCTGGCAGGCTTTGGAAGAAACAGGAGGAATGCGGAGACACGCTGACCCTTACCTCCGCCTGAACAGCGTCTGGGCAGAACTGCAGTGCTCAGTCCTCCAGGTACCTCCAGTGTTCCAAACGCTGAAGCGGGCTTAAGCTAAGAACAGCCCAGCAAAGCCCAGAAAACTGCTGCCCTGGGATTCTACCCCGTCCCGCTGAGTCTGGGTCACCGAATATCGCACATTTTTAAAATGAAAGAGCCGCAGGACCTGGTACGCACAGAGCTCCGCTCAGAATGACTGCAAGTAGATATCTCAGGATTTACTTCGCCACACGAGGGGCCAGCATCAGCAGTGAGGGGAAACGCGCACTTTGGAAGGGCAGCCGTGGCACACGCGGCTTTGACTCACTCTCTGGTCCCGAATTGCTCGCCTAACTCCAGTGCGCTTTATCTGCACGTGTCTGTAGATGACTGCAATTCAGGACGCAGCTGACTTGAGAGGCAGAGGGAGGTCGCCCATGGTTGGTGTAGTCCCCCTAGGCCCAGGACAGCAGGGGCTCGGGTGGCTGAAGCAGAAGGACCGGCGGGAACAGGCAGCCGGCGACAGGAGCCTCAGGTGGGTCGAGCGCAGGTGGGCGCCGTGACCCGGGACGCAGGCGTCTTCATCTCTGGGCCAAACGCTCACCCAGGCCTCTTAATCCTGACGCCCGATGTGTCTAAGTTACCGAGAGCCGGCAGGCTGGAGGCTGTGTTCTCAGGACCCGGGTGAGGCTGACACGGGCCTGCGGTGCCTCTGGGGCCCAGCCAGGACCAGGACCTCGACGCCTGCGTTTCCCTGCGGGGACCACCTGCAGGAGCAAAGGACCCCAGAAGCCAGTCCTCTCCTCAGTCCCTGTGTCCCTGCGTTCTCCTAGGAGATCGAATCCCTCACTCCCCTGCCTCCAAAGGGAGGCACAGTCCAGGGGTGTTCCTTCCAGATTTGCTAACAGAAGCTAGAACTGCAGGGGCCGGCATGGTGGTGTAGCTGTTAAGAGTTGCTACCTGCGGGGCAGGTGCTGTGGCATAGCAAGTATAGCCACTGCCTGCAACGGCGGCATCCCGTGTGGGCGCTGGTTCGAGTCCCGGCTGCTCCACTTCCAGGCCGGCTCCCTGCTAATGGCCTGGGAAAAGGTGTGGAACAGGGGGCTGGGGCTCCCTCCACCCACGAGGGAGAACCGGATAAAGCTCTTGGCTCCTGGCCGGGGGCTGTGGCCACCCGGGAGTGAGTCGGCAGATGGAAGATCTCCCTCCCTTTTCCTCTCTTTCAAAATAAATAATCTTTATTCTTTTTAAGAAATTACAAGTGCTAGGGGGACACGCGTGCATTTAAGGACGATGAGTGGAAATGGCTTGTCCTGCCTACTCGGTCCGGGGGAGAAGGAACAGCACAGGAAGTGGGGGGGCACCGCCGACTCTGCAGGCCGGATCCAGACACGGTCAGGCCGAGTGTAGCCTGTCGTCCCGGCTCGCGGGGCCGCGGCGCGGGCGCTTCACCTCTCTGGGTTTCTTCTTCAGGATGAGGCCGTCGCCCGCTGTCCCAGGACCTACTGATTCTGCACCTGTCACGTGAGCACTGCTGTTTCTTCAGCCCAATCCTGCTTTAAGAGAAACGCGGACACCGGTGACGGACTTGAGCACCAGGTTAGGAACACAAGCCACGCCTTCCTCTGGCCACCTGGGGGTCTCCACGCGCGCGTGGCCGCTGCTGGACGACTGACTCGGCCTGAGTAGGAAATACCAGTGCTCAGCTGGTAAAGCTTCCCCGGAACCAAGTTAAAGCTGTGTCCCTGGGAGAGTTAACCAGCTTTCGGAATGTGTTTAATGAGCCAGTTATTAACCTAATACGATGTAAATCAGTCTGAAAAACTCAAATAGATGCAATACGGGAGAGAAAGTTCAATAACAAACGTTAAAAAGCAACCCATGAAGAAGGCTGGATTCTCGCCTGGGGTGGGAGCGCGCCTTTTGCCAAATACTGGGACTGGCCGGGGCGGCAGGCTGGGGGGACTCTCACCTGCACCCCTCCACTCAAGCCCGGGCCCTGCTTCCCAGCCCCCTTCTGGGCGTCTCGGCACCCCCGCCACGCGCCAGGGCCTCGGAGACCACCCTAGACGGAGCCGACTCGTCCTTGGCGCGGCCGGGCCGCCAGCCCAGGGGCGCAGGTTTCGGGGTTGGTGCGGGTGACTGAAGCGCCTGGGCAGAGGCGTGGGAACCCCGCAGACTGGGGTGTCGGCTCCGGGCTAAGAACCCACCAGGCAGATTCTCAGGCCCTACTTGTGGCTGAGCCGGCATTAGAACCGCGGCCAAGCCGCCACGACATATGGAGGCCAGGTAACTGTGACACTGGTGGCAGTGGAACTACACTTGGAACTCTTTCGGGGTCTCCCTCGTTCTGGGCTCCTTCCACTCCTGGGGCCCCAGTTTCGAGGAAGGTTCCCCCAGCGAACTCAAAATGTACCAAGAAAGGGAAACACGACCAGACTGCAATTCCCAGAAGCCGTCGCGGCCGCCCACCATCCGGGACACCGGCTGCAAGCACCCCTGGGCATTGTAGTCCTGCGCTCCGGCAGCAACCCTCTGCCGACGGTAAAATTCCCTCCGAAGAGAGGACCACAATTCCCAGCAACCCTTGCTGTCGTGCGGGGGGTCTTCACGTTCTCGTGGCGCGGCGCAGGCGCAGTGGGCCCTCGGCGCGGACCGCGCAGACTGAATAATAAAAGGGGAGCGGCGAAGAGGCAGGAAGACAGGACCATGTCGAAGGGCCCCGGGCCCGGCGGCTCCGCAGCTTCCTCGGCGCCCCCGGCCGCTACCGCTCAGGTGCTGCAGGCACAGCCCGAGAAACCGCAGCACTACACGTACGTAGAGCTCTCCCCGCCGCGCGCGCACGCCTGACGTCAGCGGCCAGCGTGAGTCACGCGCGCAGGGAGAGCGCGAGGCGGCCTCTCCCTCTCCCCCTTCTTCCTCCGGCCCGGCCCAGACCGGTTCCAACCTGCTGGGGCCGGTCCCAACTGCCTCCAACTGCCACCAGCCTCTAGTTTGGCCGAGGGGCGGGAAACTCGGTCCCGGCCGCCGAGTGGGAGAGGCGGGAGCCCGGGGACCAGGAGAGCGCGCTCGCTAGGCCGGGCCTTCGAGGCCTGCCTGTCCCTCAGACCGTGAAAACCACAGCCCGGGCACCCGCGGGCCGGCGGGACGTCCAGGCCACGAGCAGGACGCGGGCTCGGCGGGGGCCGGCGCTGGCGCGCCTGTGAGGGCCGATTCGGCAGCGGGGCGTCCTATCAGGAGACCCCCGGGGCCCGTCTGGGAGGCCAGCCTTGCCTGAATCCGCTTAAAAACAGCCCCTCAGACAAACACCCGGAGCCGGAGTCGAGTGTGCGTGTGTGCGCGCGCGCGCCCCCGTGCCCGCGCCCCCGGCCGGCGTGGAACCCCAGGACCCCCGAATGTGGCGCTGGGGGGGTTCCCCGAGGCTGGCCCTGCAGGGGTCGAGCGCGGTGGGAGCACCTCGGCCGCGGGGGTGCCGTCTGCACGGCCCGGGGAGGAAGACGAGCGCCCGCGTGGAGCGAGGGTGGGCCCCCGTGTTCCCCGGCGCCCCGGGCGCCCCTGGGTGCGGGGAGGAACCGAGAACCAGCAGCAGGAAGCGGCTGTTGGAGTAGAACCGGAGTAGGCGGGAGGAGCCCCGCGGGCAGCTTCCGGGGTGCGGGAGCTCGGGTTCCAGCGAGCCTTGTGCTTTCCTGCGGGACGCCCCGGTGCTGGCTGCGGTCTTCGAAGCTGCCCGCCTGCAGTTTGTCCCCGGCCAGCTGATTGCTCCCCCGTGGCCCTGGCTTGGCTGGTCCATTGTGTTGGTCGGTTTTCCTGCCACCGCACTGCTCACCGGGCAGCCCGTGTGGGCGCACGGCGGCATGATCGGCGCCTAGTCGGAACTCCTTCTAGTCCCCGCTTGCTGGAATGACATCTTGCCACACCCTGAGTCGTGGAAGCCTTGGGCCAGCAGCCTGTGTGTCTACGCGGTGCTGTCGTGGACTTTGCCCCGCTTAGGCCTCTGGTCGTTTCGGGGTGGACGGATGAAGCAAGTCGCCTCTGTCGGTGTCTGGCGCTGTGTCCCCGTGATTCTAACTGCAAAGTCTGCCTCCTCCCGTGGGGACTGAGTGCAGGGTAACCGCGCTCGGCTCCCGAGCTGTCTTACTACACCAGCAGCCGAAGAGATGGCCCAACCTAACTGCCTGGTGGAGGCTGTTGGTATTCCGGCCTCTGTCAGTCTGGGTGTGTGTTTTTATCTCAAAAAATCATGTATAGAAATCGGCTGTCTGGGTAGATCTGCGCATTCTTCCTCTTAGCTCGGTTGACCCGCAGCACGGGGACACCCGTGATGGCGCCGGGGTGCCTGGGGGCTGGTAGTTACTTTGTAGGTGGGCTCCTTCCTTGCCCATAAGGATGAGGGGACACAAACACTTTGATTTTGCTCCTTAATGTTTGCTATAAACTTTTAGCTGTCTGGCAGTTTTTTAGTGTCCCTTGCAGAATGAACTTCCAGAATTTGTTCAATTATGGCCTTACCTACGGCATTGAACCCATTGTTGAATATAGATACCCCCCCCCCTTTAAGATTGGTTTATTTGGAAGAGAGATCTTCCGTCCTTCACTGTCCAAATGGCCGTAATGGCCGGGCAGGTCCAGGCCGCGCTGCATCCAGGTTGCCCACACAGTGGCAGTAGGGGCCACCTGCTGCCGCTTCCTCGGGCGCATTAGCAGGCAGCTGGGACTCGAGCTGGGTCCAGTGTTGTAGGCCGCAGCTCTGCCCTCGTGCCAGCCCTCTCTTTTCTTAATGTTTGTTTTTTACCTTATACGTTTTCTGCCTGATATTTGCAGTAATCTAGAAAAACTTGCATTAAAATTGAATCTTACCTGTTGTGACTGCAGTCATACTGCTGTTATGGCAAACAGTAAAATCCACCAAAAGCAAAAATTGTTTCCTTGTGGGCTTGCCCTTTATTCTTGTACTGCAATTAAAGTTCTTAAGAGTTTGCGCTCTCCTTTTCTTAAACCAAGAGGATTATTCATAACATAGTTTGAAGGATAATTATTTTGTTGTTTTTTTTTTCTGACCCCTTGAATAATCTTGTTTAATCCTTTCAGCAAATTAATGTAGCCAGGTGTTTGTGTGAACCGTTTTAGGAAAACCGTTCTCAGTTTCCTGTGTTGTACAGCGCGAAGTATTTGATTAGCACTCGGTAAAATAATAACATAGATTCTCTTCCAACACCAGAACCGCATGAGACCCTTTTGCTGGGAGGTTTGTCTTTTGATTTGGTAGAGACTGAATCTAACCCAGCTTTATTTGTAGCAGGTCCATTGTGTGTATTACAAGGGTTTTGTGAAGACAGGCATGAAGAATGGGAAATTTTGCTTTTTCAGTTTGAGACAGAGACATGCAGTTCCCATCTGTTCACTCTCCAAATGCCCGCAGTGGGCCGCCTGGGCTGGGCTGCAGCCAGGTCTCCACCTGGGAGCAGAGACCCGGGTACTGCAGCCCTCGCTGCTGCGTTAGCAGGAGGCTGGAATCAGGAGCTGGGTTGGGTATGGAATCCACACTGTGATGCGGGATGTGGGCGTCTGTCTGCCGGGGTCTCAATTGCTAGGTCAAATGCAAGCCCTAGTCAGGCTTATTACTGCGTAATAATTATATATACATATATATATATAATATACATATGTTTATTTTTAAGACTTATTTTATTTGAAATAGAGTTATAGAGAGGTGGGGGTGGGGGGAGGTCTTCGGCCTGCTAGCTCACTCCCCAGATGGCACAACAGCCAGAGCTGAGCCGATCCAAAGCCGGGAGCCTGGAGCTTCTTCCGGGTCTTCCATGCAGGTGCAGAGACCCAAGGACTTGGGCATCTTCTGCTGCTTTCCCAGGCCATAGCAGAGAGCTGGATTGGAAGTGGGGCAGCCAGAATTTGAACCTGCTCCCATATGGGATGCCGGCACTGCAGGCGGCAGCTTTATCCGCTACACCACAGTACCAGCCCCTATCTATGTATTTATTTTTATTTATTTGAAAGGCATAGTTATAGGGCGGGAGACACAGAGATGAGAGATTTTTCTTCAGCCTGCTGTATCACTCCCCAGAAGGCTGCATCGGTCTGCTGGGCCCAAAGCTGGGAGCCAGGAGCTTCTTCCGTGTCCCCCACATGGTTGCAGGGGCCCAAGGACTGGGGCTGTTTGCTGCTGCTTCCCCAGGCACATCAGCCAGGACTTGAACTGGGGCCGTATAGGGTGCCAGCATTGCAGCTGGTGGCTTAACCTGCGCCTCAGCACCAGTCCCAGTATTTACATATTTTTCAAGATAATTATTAAAAGTATATAGTTGAGGCTGGCGCCGCAGCTTACTAGGCTAATCCTTCGCCTTGCAGCGCTGGCACACTGGGTTCTAGTCCCGGTCGGGGCGCCGGATTCTGTCCCGGTTACCCCTCTTCCCCTCCAGTTCTCTGCTGTGGCCAGGGAGTGCAGTGGAGAATGGCCCAAGTCCTTGGGCCCTGCACCCCATGGGAGACCAGGAGAAGCACCTGGCTCCTGCCATCGGATCAGCGCGGTGCCATTGGAA